TTTGACTTAAAATGCATATGTTTGTACACCTTATGATCTGCACAATGGTACCGCTTGTAGAAAAGACCAAACACCTGTAGCACTCATTTTATCTTTCCTATATTGTTTATTCAAACAGCTATATTAGAATAGTTGCTGTGAGGCTGATGGATTAATAACAGATTAATGGTAACAGATACATTTTCTTAGCATTATGTAAGCTATCATTGTCTAAAAACATCTCTAAGACGGGATGTTTAGGGTGGGCTAACATTTTTATTAGACCAATTACCATGTAATCTCTTCCCAAAAGTCCATTTTGCTTATATTCTCTTATACATCAGTGATTTTCAAATCTAATTTCATTTAAGCAATTTGCTTAACTTTCATTTAAGCAATTAGAGAAACGTTACTATGTGCTCCTAATAAGTTATTGAATGTGGTGTTACAACTTTAGAAAAAAACAACTCAATGTCACTGATGTATCTGGAATGCTGTTGGTAATCCAGGGAAGGTAATACACTCAGCAAGATTTTGTTTCCTTCTCTAGAAGGCTTCTCTGGGCTTTAAACTTTTCAAAAATCTCCTTGCTTAGAAAGAAAGGTGGGAATAGGCAGGTATTCCTGTTTTTGAAGTGGGAACAGCAATTCTGAAACACCTTTGAGGATCCCAATGAAAAATCAGTTGAACTTCTGGCAATTAAGTGAACAAATAGATATGATAATGTGACTGTCTAAATAGGAAAAGGACAGTCCATGCTTGATAGGGACAAAAATGGCTGCTGGAATCCACAGCTCACGAAACTATTTGATAACTTGGAGAAGGTTCTGAGAAGAGATACAGAAACAACTTAGAAAATGAAAAATGTGCTTTATAAAATGCTATTACTCAAAGGGATGACTTGCTCTTATGTCTACAGTGAGTCCTATTGTCTCCTCTGTCTTACAGAGATGAAGGAAAAAACAGCTGAAAGATAAAATAAATACATTCAAGGGAGAAATATGTATATATTTGTCAATGAGAGTAATTAAGGACTGGAACTAGGAATTAACAATTTGTAGAGACAGGATGTTCTGGGATGTTTCCCTAGGGGATGTTGTGGTTTAAATGACCAGCAGTATCACTAGTCACATGGCTGCTGCCTCGCAGTGAGTTGTACCACGTGAATACAGTAATCCCCTGGCTCTATTTATCTGTGAAAGGACAGAATATGCTTGTGCTGGATGCCCTAATCTGGACAGGATAGAAAATGAAGATGGAAATATGTCTAGGTTTTGAGAAACACATCTCAGAGAGGACAGAAAAGAAAGGAAACTGAACAATCCTAAAACAGAAAAAGCTCGAATCCCTGCCTCTAGCCAACTGTTTTGCATATATAGGCAAGCATATGCAGAATGTGATTTTACAAAACATGTATCAACAGAAAATTAATCTCTACTTTTCTACAGCTCACAAAACACAGGTTTAACTTCTCAGATAAGCAACAGCTGGCCAACCATCAGCCAAGAAGATGGTAGCTGCATGAAATAGATGACAATTCTACAGAAAGGTGGATTTTTTAATATGTGTATGTACATTGAAAAGCTTATGTAGTTCTCTTTAATCTACTACATTTTCCTTTTACCTCAGAGAAACATGTCTTCTGCCTTCTTTACTGCTAAATGCAGACAATCCCTGCTAGCATCAGCTTTTGTGCTTTAAATGCTAGGGTCCTCATCAAGTGCAATCAGTTTGTACGTGTTTGTTGTGCTGGTTTATTGTGTTGCCACTCTTGTTTGCACACTAAATATTCCACTGCACTGTGCAATTTACTTACCCGGAGTGAAGAGCTGGAAAACTGGTGATGCCATTTCCAGTCTCCTGGTAAGTGCAGTGTGATTCCTGCGTACAGCCTCGATGAAGGCACAGCCCCCAGCCCTCTGCATTCAGGATCACCCAGCCACCATCAGGGGGTCAGAATACTTCTGTCTTTTCAGTCTCTGGATGTGATCTAGACATTGCCCTTTGCAAAGCAGCTCGGGACATCTTAAATAACTACTGCTTCCTTTTCAGAGATGAGAGGGATTTACAGAACTACTGTAACAGATAGTAGGTAGGGCTCTTGTTCACTGACAGATTGTGTCCAGTTCAGTCACTTACACCAGTGCATTTTCATCATCAGAAATTAGGTCCAAATAGTGAAACAGGTCGCAGACAAATGTAAAGACTGCCTACTGTTTCATCCTGTTTTCCATCTCTGTTATGCTTTCACGATGTTAACTATTAGAACAAGTCCATATTTGATACATAAAGTGCTGATGCTTATTTCCCATACACAGATATTTGAGGTAAATTGTACACAGACAGTAAGATTTGCAATTCTAGAGTTAGGACTGAGAGATATAATGTGCACCTTAAACCACTGCCCAGATTTACAGTTTTAATTAAAATAGAGAGACCTTTTAATATATATTTTTGGTACTGCTTTTTGGTCCTGAATTTTTTTTTGTAACAGACTAAAGCATATTAGAATGAGTCAAAACACTCGTGTTTGGACTTCACCCACTTTTAGGACTTTGCTTTACTTTATCTCACCTTTTGGTCCTGACCTATGAATCCTCCAGTTCCAGAAGTTGTAATTGATTGACGGTGCCAGATACAAACACAAATGGAACCTTTATAAATTCTCCCATTAGAAAAACATGTAAGTTTGAGAGACAGAGGGATACACACATGTATCTACAATTGTCTGTTCTGCTCTTGAGACTTTCAGCAAAGCCAACAACAGCCGGCAGGAAAAGCAGAAACAAACAGTTGCAGGGCTTCCCCACTTACCCAGTCTGGTGAGTAGCTCACAGTTCCTGCAGTTGCCTCTGCTGTTGAGGACAGACACAACTTCACCTCTCCACAGCTTGGTTAGTACAAAACCCAATTTTCAACAATAAAAATGGCTGTCACTTGTTCTTATGATCACCATTTTCATTACTGTGCTTCTATCAAGATGACTCTTTTTGTTGGCCTTATATTTTTGTTTAAAAACCAAAAGAAATATATAACTAAACTCAACTCTTACTGTTAGCCTGAAGAGAAAGGTCTAGATTTTCTAGAGAAAGTTGATATTTAAGTATTAAAAAACAAATTCAGGGGGGAAAAATAAATAGAATTTAACCTAGCTACTAAGGCATGCTGAAGCTTGAAGGGTTCGTATGCTGGCTAATTCCCTGGTGAGCTTCTCTGCCTTAGGCAGGACACTTGTACATCTGTCAGTCTGAACATTAGAAAAGTTTAATTAACATCTGGTTTTGCTATTTCAAAAGCCACACAAGAGATAAAGTAGATCTTCTCCAGTGATGGTGGGGATGAACAGAGCAATGCAGATTTTGCAGATAACAAATTGCCCTCCGGTGGGGTGTATTTCAACCATCCGATTAGAGAGAATATATATTCTTCTGAATTAGGTATCTAGAACTGGCTGATACTTTTTTCCACATCACACCCATTTATATGTATATGAGCAGATGTCTACATCATATAAAAAGCATGATACAGATTTGTTTGATTCATAGCCCCCGAATAAATTCTTCTGCCTATTCTCCACTTGAGGATAGCTTGAGACATCAAAGTATTTCAGGACAGCTGATCATATTGCTTGATATTCCCTGATACACTGAAGATGCAGTTCCACTGCATCTTTTCTGGGTTTGCAGGCTTTACACTGGCATATGTAGGACAATTTAATAGTCACTTCTACTGATTTCCAAAAACATCCCAAATGGAAAGATACTAAATTATTTGCTCACCTGAAATACCTCCCTACACATGCAGTTCCAGACATGTAACTAAAATACACTGTGACAAATACCAGTATAATTTATGACCTAAAAAAAAGCTGGCTTACAATTAATGCATAATGTAATATCTTTGTATTATATAATCAGAGGTTTGATATTAATTTTGTCAGTTATTTCTACATTATACTCTCTAGGCCAGCTGCGGCCACATCCAGAGAAATAAATGCGTATTTCTTTTCCTTGGAGAACTTTGGAGAACACAATGTTACAAACCTAAGTAACTCTGAAAAGAAGATCAGACTTTTTGTTTTTCATTACTAAGCTCACATGCATGGCAAGCATGTAGGAAAGAAGTTAAATCAGTGTAAAAAAAATATATATTTTTTTTTCTTTCAATGGTCTTCTTTCAGCTAAAACAAGAGAAACCAGAATTTGACATTCTAAGACCAAGCAATTTTTAAAAAATTTGGTTAAAGTCTCCAAGCTTTTGAGACTTAACATATTCTGAAGGAGCAAAGGAAGGAATGATCCAGACATTGCTTTTCAGTTTAGATGCCTCTAATGGTCTTTCCTGCCTCTACCTGTCATGTTTTCAGTTTGTCTTGTTTTCAGAATGGCTTTTTATGGTTTTGGATAGATTCACTGGTGATTCTATTTCTATTGTGCTAAACCACACAGACAATGACTGCATTCCATCTCTCCAATTCTCATAACCCAGTGAATTCCACAACTACAGACCATTACCATAACCTCAACTAGAATCCTAACAGGAAACAGCAACACCACTCCCTCCCATTACAGAATTATATTGAAAGAGATGTTTCACAATCCAGAACTCACAACAAAAACATAGGTCAGAGCTGTCCCTGTCAAAATCAGTCACACTCAAATGGTGTGCATTATGTTACTGATGATAATAGGAATGGGATACAATTAGGACACTACACGTGATTTAATAGTAGCACTGTGCCTTTTGCTTTGCTAAGCAAATCAGAGCTCTGCTGTGACAGATTTCACCCTAAGAGTTTATAACCTAAACAGTATAGAAATTGAGATGCAAGCATTTTTCTTCCATGCTTTTTAAGTTATTTCACTGTCTCAGCCACTGACTACATGCAGTACTTTCAAGTACCTCATGCTGTATCAGAGGTTCATTCGTACCAGCAACCTTAACCTGCTACTGAATGCACTGAAGAGATCCTCGACATGTCTTGATCTTCAAAAAAAATAAAAAAAAAGAAGAGAAAAGGATGGTATTCTAACAGTGCAGCTTGTGTATTTGTTACTAGGGAAACAAACAGCAAAGAGAAAGAAACCCTCAGTGTCCTTGTCATTTGGATCTTCCAGTGGAGAAGCGGAGCTTGTGTTAAAACAATGGAAACACTGTTCAGCTTTCAGGATCCTTTGCTGTCCTTGCTAAATGACAGACACTTCTTTCTCCTCCTTGTCCATCTTGTTATCTCTGAAAAAGAGAGTCACTTCTACATTCCACATTGGCCTGCTGGTTATTTTTTTACTCCTCCTGTAGACTTTAATTCCTGATTCTGTGTAACCTGGTCAGATCCTAACACCTAAACCATGTCTCTTGAGGTAAAGAGAAGAGAAAAACTTGATGTTGCATTTATATCTGTAGAAAAGCACATACAGCAGCACAAGTAATTCCAAGTTTGTGCTTCTTTGAGTCCTTACTGAATGAGAGCACCATCAGGACTCTAGAGAGTGTGAGAGGTACGCAGCATTCACTGCAGTCCAACATCAGGCCCCTGTGCAGCTGTGATCCATGGAGAGGCCCGTGCACGTGTAACATCATTGGCTTTGAGGGTCAGGGCTGTGGATCGTGGTGGAACTTTGCCACCAGCTTCAGTGAAGCAGTGAGATGTCAGGCCATGTAAGCCACGACTGACACCTCCCTGGTTTCAGCCAGTTGTGAGGTGTCAGTCATGACAGGTGGGGTGGGAGGACAACACAGAGATCAGCGTTGTCTTTATCATGACTTTCTGCTCATTGCTCAATATTCCTGGTTCCTAATTCTCAAAAAGATGATAAAGGTAGGAACTGTTGCAAATATACTGTGGAATGATACTTAGAACCTGTCAAGTACAATATAAGTATTAACTGTTATGAAAAGGTCAAAGCAATTAATCCTAATGCAACACAGAGGAGAGTTTCTATAGGCAATTGCATAAATGGGGTAAAGGATCCGCCGTGCCAGATGAGTTGCTCTATAGATGGCTCTATTTATCTGCTTCAAAAAAACCAAAACCAAACCCCCACTTGATAAAGATTTGAAAAAAAGAAAAAGATGTCAGGATTGACTAGAAAAGGAAGCAGAGCCCTGCCCGGGGGTACAGAGTAAATGACAGTTTTCATCACAGGCTCTGACAGTTTGAGTCCCTGCACTCTGTCCATGGAAATAGAAGGGTACAGCCAAAATAAACCAGGGGCTGGCTTTTATTGACTTTTTTAAGGAAAACTCGATCATTACCAACAGACTTGATATGCTTTGGAAACCAGTTGCGTGTGAGTTGTGTTTTGGTCCCCTTTATATTCAAAATTGTTACAAGCAACGAGCTCTTCCCAAACTGGAATCAAGTGCTTTGACCAATCCTAATCTTTCAGCCTCCAACTGTGCTTTTTTTCTAAATGTTTTTCCTAGAGCACTCAAGTTTAACCAGACCAGTGTCACCTCTCAGGGTTTTACCTACTTCGAGCAGAAACGCGGAGGGGAAATACTTTCTGATGTCCGTCATGACTTAGGCGGACTGACACCTCACTACGTGTGTTGGGACGACAAACAAACTGAGCAATCCGACACTGCCGACTTAGAGCGCCTTCACAAGGAGGCCGCTCCGAGAACACCGGGCGATGAAACCCTGGCTTCGGCGGGGATGGGTGGGTTTACCGCGTTGTATTCCCCGATCCCGCGGGTTCCGCCCCGGCTCTCCCCTCACGGGCCGCTCCCGCCTCAGCCCTCAGGGAGCGCGCGACGCGCCTTTCCCGCCTCGCCCCGGGCGCGAGGGGCGGGAGGGGGGGCGCTCGCGGCACGCGCCCAGCGGCACGCCCCGCCCCGCCGCGCGCGCAACGGCCGGGGGGGCGTGGCCAACCACCCCCTCGCCACGCCCACCGAGCCCGGTTCCCTCTTCCACAAAGCCCGGAGAAAGGGGCGGGACCGGGCGCGAGGGGCGCGCGCGCGCGGGGCCGAGCGGCGATTGGCTGGGGCGGCGGGGGGAGGGGTTTAACGGGCGCTGCGCCCCCGGGCCGGGCAAAGCAAAACAAAGGCGGCGGCGGCGGGAGCGCGGGGCTCGGCAGGGCTCGGCACGGCACGATGCCTCGGCCGCCCCTCGGCCCTCGGCGCGGCACACGCGCGCCCGGCCCCCGTCTATGACCCGCCCGGCGGCCACCGCCGAGACGGTACCTTCGAGGCGAGGGAAGCCGTCGTGTGTCCCCCCCAAGCCCCCCTCTTTGTCTGAAGGTGAGGGCCCGGCGCAGAGCCCTCGCTGACCGCCGCGCGAGCACCGGGGGTCCCGCCTCCCTCCTGCCCGTGCCCCCTGAGGGAGAGGGGCCCGGGGGCTGCTCATAGCCCGGGCTGGGAGCGGAGCCGGCGTAGCGGTGAGTACCGAGCGGGCGAGGAGCGGCCGATCTCCCTTGCGCTGGGATTTATTGTTTGGGGCGGGGGGGCGGCTGCCAGAGGAGCCCCGAGCTGCCTCTGGCCGGGGGGCCGGGGTCTGGCGTGTGCGCGGGGCCGCCGAGGCAACTTCGGTGGCGGGAGGAGACTCGGGCGCTATTTATAGCGCCTGGAAATGACGGCAGCGCTGTCTGCCCGCAGCCTCCTCGGCACGGGGCGGGTGGGGGCGGTTTACATAATTGAGGGGGGGCGAGGCTGAGCTCGGCGGGCAGGGGTACGGTGCGGACTCCCCGCGCTCCCCCCGCCCGGAGCGGGGCCGGGCGCGGTGTGTCCCCGCACGGAGCCGGTGGCTGGAGCGGGGACTACGAGCCGCTGTCCTGCGGGAATCGCTGCGGGGGTGGAGGGAGAAAAGGCGGCGGCGTCACCCGCACGGCAGTTTCGTGCTCCGGCGTGAGAGGAAACGGCTGAAAGGCGCACGGGCAGCGGCACCCGCCCGGCGGGGGACGGAGTGCCAGCCGGTAACTTCCTCCGCGCTTCTTCTCTCTTGCTATTTCCCGGTACCTGAAGTAACAGTGAGTCTCCCGTGGCTCAGTCTTTTAACTTTGTGAGCCTTCCACTGCTGCAGCAATCGCACCGCAGGTTAGCGAGAGCGCGCGCACCGGCCGCGTCCGGCTTTGTGCAGTTGCCCAAAGACTCTTTAAGCTTATTTCGCGTCGTTCCTTTCTTTAAACGCAGAAGGAACGACGCGGGGAGGCCGATTTCCGACACGTTTTCGCTCTCCCCACACGCAGCAGGAAGCCGCTGTTTCCCGGCCGGTGCCGGGCCCGCCCCGCTCTGGGCACAGTGCGGGGTGTCCCCCCCGGCCCCGCACACCTATCGGGGTGTTTGTTTACACATCCGGGCCTCGCGCGGGGCGGGGCCGCCCCCGCCCCATTGGCTGCCCCGCGCTCCTCCCCGGTGACGTCACGCGGCGGGACAGGGCCGCGCATGGGCCGCCCCGGGGGCACCGCGGGGGGACCCGGAGGAGCGCGGGGGCCGCGGAGTGCCCGGAGTGCCCGGGAATGCCCGGGAGTGCCCGGGAATGCCCGCAGTGCCCGGGGCAGCCGGTGCGCCCGGGAGTGCCCGTGGGCGCTGGACTGGTAGGTGCGAACACACGTGGATCGTGGGCAAGGACCACTGTGCAGTGGTCAGAAAATTATGAAGTAAATAGTTATTTCAGGCTTTTACGCTCTTCTCCATAGAGTAATGGACAGCAGCTGTGGAACTGCTCCTAACTCTCAGGGGGAAGTGAAACTGGGTTTATTCACCGTTTTTAGAGGAAGCTGAGAAATGGTTTGGTTTGAATTTTGCCTTTAACAGCACAAAGCAGCAAGTCTCTGGTTCTTAGGGTGTGTATCGAACGCAGTTGCCTTTTTGAATCAAATACAGTTTTGTCAAATGAGATTTGGAATTCTTAGGATCATAGAATCGTTAAAGTTATGATCATTAAGCCAGCGCTGCCAAGGCCACGACTAACCCATGTCCGCAAGTGCCACATCAACACCTACTGAACTTTTGCAAGGATTGGACTTGTGTTTCAGTTACAGATGAAAGGGGTTTAAGCCAAAGTCAAGACATGTTTGCATGTGGTGCCTTTCGTTCTGAAACCCTGAGAGAGTGGTAGGGAATGGTGCTGCATCCAGTTGATGGCCAGTCACTAGTGGTGTCCCCCAGGGATCAGTGTTGGGCCAGTTCTGTTTACTACCTTTATGATATTTATTATCTTGATGATCTAGATGAGAGGATCAAGTGTACCATTAGCAAATTTGCAGATGACACCAAGTTGTGGGGAGGTTTTGATCTGCTGGAAGGCAGGAAGGCTCTTCAGAGGGACCTGGACAAGCTGGATCCATGGGCTGCTTCCAAGGGGATGAGGGTCAACCAGGCCAAGGGCCGGGTCCTGCCCTTTGGCCACAACAACCCCCAGCAGCTCCAGGCTGGGACAGAGGGGCTGGAGAGCAGCCAGGCAGGAAGGGAGCTGGGAGTGGGGATGGACAGGAAGCTGAACAGGAGACAGAGTGTGCCCAGGGGGACAAGAGGGCCAATGGATCCTGGCCTGGATCAGGAACGGTGTGGCAGCAGGTCCAAGGAAGTGATTCTTCCCCTCCACTCAGCATTGGTGAGGCCACCCCTGGAGTGCTGTGTCCAACTCTGGGCCCTTCAGTTCAGGAAGGACATTGAGGGGCTGGAGCAGGTCCAGAGGAGAGCAACGAGGGTGGGGAAGGGACTGGAGCACAAGTGGTGTGAGGAGAGGCTGAGGGAGCTGGGGGTGTTAGCTTGGGGAGAAGGCTCAGGGGAGACCTCATCACTCTCTGCAACTCCCTGACAGGAAGGTGTAGCCAGGTGGGTGTCGGTCTCTTCTCCCAGGAACCAGCAGTAGGACAAGAGGGCTCAGTCTCAAGCTCTGCCAGGGGAGGTTTAGGTTGGATATTAGAAAGAAATTTTTTACAGAGAGAGTGCTCAGGCATTGGAATGGGCTGCCTGGGGAGGTGGTGGATTCACTGTCCCTGGAGGTGGCATCAGTGCCATGGTCTGGTAACCGTGGTGGGGTTGGATCAAGGGTTGGACTTGATGATCTCGGAGATCTTTTCCAGCCCAGTTGATTCTATGATTCTGGTTTTGTCCATTTATATGAACCTAAATAGGATCTGTATCTAACAGTAAGTGTTCAGATGGAGAATTTAACAGGAACCTCATGTTCTTAGGTAATCTTCCTCCTATAATCTCTTACCTCTAATAAATGACTTACTGTGACTACTAGCTGTTCTCCAAAAGTAAGCTGTTTTCTCCAAATAACGTAATCATTCTTCTCTTTGCAGTTGTAATTAAATTATCTTGGGACATGAAGTATATAATATTTGTTTAAATTAGTGTTACTATTTAAGTTCTGCTCTTCATGCCAAATGGGTGAATACTTCAAACATATCAATATATCCCTTATCAAATGTGTTTTTCTTTTCGGTGACAAAAGCCCAATCATTCTGATGTGTAGATGTGCAATTTGGATGGCAGTTTGTTCCTTTATTCCATTGTTACTTCATTTCTTTTGACTGCCTTTGTTCTGCTACATGTCGTCTTTGTGGCTTATCTCTGCCTTTGCAATTCTTTGTGTAAGAAATTTTCTTGTAGCAAGTCCTTCAGTAGTTCAAGTTTTCTCTCCTGTTGTCATCAGTTTAGGATTAAAAAACAACTAAAGCAAACCCTTTAAATTTTGCTGTGGCTGTCTCATGTGCTAGGCCTGCTGTACAGATTACTTTCTCAAGACTTCTTTTGAAACACAGTGACTGCTTCCTTTAAACCATCTTTAATTTATGTGGCTTTCATTATCTGCTCTAGTTGTATTACTTGTATCTGACTGCTAGAAGAGTGGCTAGCTGCTGCCCTGCACGCAGTTTACAACTGTAATAATTGCTTTGCATGCTTAGCTACCTCGAGATACTGTAAATTCCTTATATGGGCTCTCATTTCTGTGTTTGTGCTATTGATCTACTCTGTCAGTCACCTGATAGCTGATGACATAAGTGCCCGGGCAGTGTTTCGTGTTTGCATTGCTCATTAGCTCGAGGCACACAGCACGGGAACTGCAGGCCTCTGACAGATCAGTAGGTGTTGTTATGAGTATTCGGAATCTGTAGTTTTCAGGCAAACCAAAGAGATTTGCTTTCCAGCCTAGTGGGAGGGTCTGGCACACTCTGTACTGCCTCTAAAATGCACTCTGAGCATTAAAAATTAAGAATGGGTGTTCTCTGTGCAGAATTTAGCTTTTAGTATCTGACTGTGACTTTTGTAGCATCAATTAAGACTATTCTGGTACCTTGAGGAAGTTCCTAATTAGCTTTGATCAGGACACTAGTCAAGAAGGTCTTTGCCTAAAGGCATAATTGTGCTTGAAAGAGGAATAGACATGGATCCCTGAATAGGCAGCATCTTACTTGGGTTTTGACTTAAAGCCAGGTGTGATACTGCAAGAGTTTTGCTGAAAGCTGAAGTGCAAATATATCTTGTATGTTTACTGTTGGACAGAGCAAGTATTCTCCAAGATGCTATATTGGAACTGACCACTGGAACTTCAAGGACAATTAACTTTGTCTCATTCCCTGCCTTTTTGCTGTAATTTTCTGCATGGATGTCTTAAAGAGAATACCTGGTATAAGGTAGAAAGTGCTTGTGTTTCTTGGTGAACTGTTAAGTCTCCTCCCTCATCAGAAGTGTGGTGGAGTAGAAGCCATTAGTGGAACAGAGCTGCTTGTCGCTGTGTTGAATGGGACTTGAACTGCGCAGCTTCTTAGAAAAAGGGGCCTGTAGTGCAGCCAAGAATTTGCTCCAAATAACACTTTGCTTTATGGCTGGA